CGATCATTGGAATTCACGTAATAAAAACATTTATATTCTTTCAACAATTTGTACAATTAAAGATCGCTTTAAATTAAAACCATGTATGAAACTATATATAGAAATATCATTAATCATTACGATTGTAAACCGCGATAAACGGATTCACAAGTTTGAACGAAGTGCACGAGTGGTCATAAGGAAGGAAATCGCGGTGGAATTCGCATGAGTGTCACGCAAGATGCAAATTTCATGTATTCCCCTCGATCTTGACGCGTATCTTGATCAAACACAAGTTCAATTTTACGGTGCCTCGTAAATTTCATTGAATTATCCAGCAACATCGTATTATTCACTTAAGTGCGGCTAGGCGTGAAGACTGTTTAAATTTCTTTTCCACCATTTTATCGGGGCAACCGTGCCAATTTATCGATGCTTTCATGACTTCATTTAAAATAATCGATGTTATAATGCAACTTTTTCTCATGTTCAAAATACTTGTAATTTTAATATAATTATTTATATTATTGTGTGTGCGATTTTGCTTAATATTTCTTTAAAATAAATTTAATTTCCTTTTTTTTTTTTTAAAAAATCATTATTAACTTTCTTAACAGTTTGGAATTTTCAGAAATTTCAAGATTAAAATTTTTAGATTAAAGAATTTTAAATTGAGAATTAATCTTAAAATTTTAAGTGACCAAAGAGATAAAACAAAATATAGAATGAAACGATAATCTTGCTTCTTCTAACGCAAATTTTAATCGTTTTAATAAATAAGCGTAGTTATTTTTGCATGAATTTGTTTTGATCTCTTAAAGAATCGATTTTTTAAAGATGTTTCAATACATTCTTCATAACATTCATACATAACTAAGAGAAAAAGAATGGAAATAGCTGATGATGCCATTGAACGCGATTCGCCGAACTGCAAAAATCACGAATGCAGATTTGACAAAATGGATATTGAGTAGGTTGAGAGTAAGAAAGAATTGGTAGAAATAAAAAGAAAGGAAAATAATGATGTAGAAAAATCGAGGAACTTAAAAATTTCGAAAATATTTAAAGATCTACAGAAGATCGTATATAGATAAAAAAATTAAAGGATTTAAAGAATTAAGATTTAAAACTGAAAAAATTTGAAAGCGTGAGAATTTACAAATTGATTGAAGATTCAAAGGTATGGAAATGTAAAAATTTGAAAGATATAGAAAAAAGAAAAAGATTCCAGCAATATAAAAATATCTCAATATGTACAAAACTTAACATTTCATAAATCTCAAACAATAAAACTAGATGTCTAAAAGTTTAACACCATAAATTTATCCAGAGAATAAACACTAGAAATTTAAGGATCCAAAAAATCCAGTGATCCACAAATAAATGATCGAGGACAAAAGTAAAAAAAAAAAAAAACAAGATAATAGAAAAACAAAACGCGTACAAAGAGAAAATGAGGGAAACCGGAAAAAGGAAAAAGACACTTGCGGACGAGGTTAACCTCCGGCGTATCCCGTTCTTTGTTCTTTGTCTCATCCGGTCGGTCTTCGTTTTATGATTAAAACGATTGAATCCAGGTTAACCTTCGACAATCGTGTACAGCGTAAATTGCCAACATGAT